GCATTTGCTTCAATTATCCGGATAATTGTTCCGCACCTCGGCCCTTTGTTGGCAAAATGAAACAATATTCCACGGGAGACCGCCTTGGCCTTTGCAGGCGGCCTCCCTGCGGCGTCCAGCACAGGCTGGGCCCCTGAAGACCAGTACCATAAATTTTGTCCCGTGACAGAGAGGAGAGCTCTCAGGGTGGGAGTGGACTTTGTTAAACCCGGGGAACCGGCTGCTGAGGAGGTGGCAAGGGAGGTGGAGTGTTGGTTCAGGTGAGGTGGGAAGCAGAGGGGCCACGTGGCATGGTAGGGTACCACTAGGCTACAGCTACGGGGCAGGGTGGGGTGCAGAGACTAGGCGGATCCTGCCACACAGAGCCAGGCCCCTGCTTTCTTTGCTCCTACCCTGCCCCCACTGCCGACCCTGATTCGCCTAGTGCCTCGCTGAACCCCAAAGGCCCTGGCCACTGATTACACCAAAGCGAGGTGGCTCTGCGTGGCGGGAACGCAGCGGCCCAGAGCAGCGGGGCACCTCACCCCCGGGTGGGCCTCTGCCAGCCCAGGCGCGGTGGCCACGGGCAGACACGCCGCGTGTGGCTCCGCTCACTGCAGCCCCGGACTGGCGCGGGTTTCTTTGAACTGTCCCACGCTGGCTCGCAGGTGGCCGCCTCGCCCCAGGGTGAGGACCGGGAACCCAGGGTTTCCAGTCCCATCCCGCCAGCAAAAATCACCTCTCCTGCGCGCCTGCGAGGACGGCAAGCGCTGGCAAGTGCTCCGTTTTCGCTCCAAGCCCGCCGGGCTTTGCATGGGTACCTGGTCAGGCACGCCCAAAGGGTGTCTCTGCTCCGATCCGCAGCTCGAACAGAAAGCTGGACCAACTCCCACACCAGACGCCGGCGACGCTTCCCACTGCTCGTCTCCCTGGCCGACCACGCAGGGGGAGCAGCGGGGCAGAGGGGCAAGGAGGGGCAAAGACGGGGGTGGGGTAGGGGACGGTCCAGAGCCTCAGCTGCGGTCTAGCAAAGAAGGGGGAGGGGAAGACGGTTTTCTCTGGCGTTTGTTCCTTATTTTTATTTATTTTTTCTCCTTGTTGCTTTGTTGGCAGCTTTACCCACCCCCCCAAACAACAATAATAATAAAACGAGAACATTTTCTTCTTCACCTAGGTGGCTGCTTGCCTGCAGCCCCCTGAAATGTGACTCCTTCATAAAATCAAAATTTATGATTATTCAAATGTTGGGGACTGTGAAAAGAGAGGAAGAAAGAGAGAAAATTAATATTGCAGCTGTTCTTCTGATTAATGAGAGATAATTGCTCATGAAAAGTCACCCCTGTGGCATTTTCTTGTCTCCTGGATCTTTGTTCTTTTCTACTATTATTGAGGACTTTCTTGAAGACTAAGCGGTTCTTTTCAATTTTGGGGTATTCAGAAAGGGTTGCCTGGTTACAGAGAATGGGGAAATCTCGGGCTAGATCGGGTAAGATGTGCCACAGACAGCAATATCACAATGCCACTTGGAGAGAAGGATGGGTAAAGTTAACGATGTGCTTTCAATAAAACATTCATAGACTTGTTCACGCTTTGATAATGGCCTCATTAAAGGGAGCTGGGGGCAAGTAAGCCCTGTCTCCTGTTTGTGTTCGCCTAACAAAACCCAGCTTTGAGATCATTCATCGCTTTGGAAACTAATATGAAATCAATGTAAGAGGAGCAAATAAATCCCAGCGGCCCCACCGACTCCCGGCTGTCCTGCCCGGCTGGGCCGGCAGCCCCGAGAACCTGGAGGCAAGTGCAAGAGACCAAGAAGAGGCGTGGGGGTGTGGAAGGGGGGTGGGGAGGGGCACTCCAGGGCAGAGTGGGAGTGGAGCCCTGGAAGTGGCTGAGCAGACCTCCGGCTGGAACCCTGGCCTGCTGCGTCAGCTGGGCTCCAAGCCCGCACTCAGAGAAAAGCAACTGGAAGAAAGCGGAAGCGACCAGCCAATGTGAGGCTCAGGTCAGGCGCCACTCCCCAGCTAGGGGAAGCATGCTGGAAAAGCCAGCACCAAGGTTGCAGCTCATCCCATGCAGGAAGGACCCCACTGACCCGGGGTCCAGTGGTAGGGTCCCTGGGCGAGGAGGAGCGGAGCGGGCCGTGCCTTCGCCCTTCTAGGTAGCACTGCTCCTCTCCTGGTTGATTGGCTTGTTCCAAGTGGGAGGGGGCACTGTGGGGGGTTCCGGCCTAGAGCAGCTGCGGAGACCAAGGCTGTCACCTGAGTGTGTCTGGAGCTCTGGGAAGACAAAGCCATTCTCTGTCATCCTGAGGATTGCACTCCCCTCCCCAGCACCAATTTTCTCCTTGAATTATGAAAGTAACGGCTTAGGTAACAGCCTGTATTCTGTACCCGACTGCTTAATACCGAATAAATCCTTCCACGTGGCTCCCCAAGTTGTGGCAATTAGAACTCATTATAGGCTCATAAGAGCTCTCATTCTAGGGATTACTTAATGGGCAATGAAATTTTATCGGACAGAATCACTGAGAAATAAAATTGTGCGGTGGTGCAGGCACCATGGGCACACACCGGCGGTAGGTCTGCTCCCTCCTGGGAGCAGCTGAGGTGGGGGTGGGGGCTTTGCCCCCTGGAACAGTTTGGGCCAATACTTCTCCCCTGGGCCGTGGCCTTCAGGCTCTCCCCCTCCCCCCACAACAGGAGATGCTCAGTGAGGTAGAGGAGAGTATAAGAAGGCTGCACTGGGGACAGGACCTGCGTGTGGTTTCTGGAGGCTCCAGCCGTGCACGGCTACCCCAACGGGCTAGTGTCTCTCGGCTATGGTCCTGCTTCTGCCCTCAGCCTGGCAGCAGCAAACCACTGCCTGCCATGCTCTGCCCCTGCAGACCCAAGCAAGCCCTACCAGCCCTCACCTTTCTCACAGCTTCTTGGCACCAGAAGCCCAGCATTTCTGGAATCCAGTGGAAACGAGAGCTCTCTTGCCTCAGGAAGCTCCTCTAAGCTGGCCTGCCAACACAGGCACAATTTTGGGCACTTTAGCAGAGAAACACTCCACAAACTGCCAGCAACCATTGGCCCAGACCAGACCTCGGATGACAGCGTGCTTAGTCGAGTGGAGGCGACAGCCGCTGCTCACCAAGATGACCCACAAGCAGACCTGATGAACGTCCTAAAACGGGATGGAAAGGGAATCTGTGTTTGTGCAGAAAGTTTTGAAATTCATGCTTACTTTTTTCACACTACGCATTTCTTAAAAGTAAGACATTTTGAATAATATACATTTCAAAGAACATTTTCACGTTCACACTTACAAAAAGAACCGGGAGGAATGGAATTACCTGCTTGAACTCAGATCTTAAAAAAAAAAAAAAAGAGAGAGAGAGAGAAGGAGGAGGAGAAAAAGAAAATAGAGAAGAAAAAAATCACCCTGGTTTTCAAACTCTTTCAACTCAGCCTTTGAGCTCCAAGTCTCGCTGGTGGGGCTGGACTGACTTGACGGCCTGGATTCTCTCACTGTGAGGCAGGGCTGGCCAGGCTGGCTCGGGTGGGGCACTCAGCTTTGTGGTGCAAAAGTAGTTACAGCTGAGCTGCCCCAAGTTCAGCCTCGAGACTCCCTAATTGTTGTCACAAGATGTTGGATTAGCACATTTCTGGAATAGCTGTCTGTGTACACTCCAGAGACCCACCGTCCACTAACCGCTTTCTAATTGAATTCTAATCACATTCAAATAGCTCAATACCCAGCCTCAGCTGCAATTCATAAAACTTTAATTGCCATCCATAAATCCTGGGCTCCCTAGAGCGGGGCATCCCTACAACCCAATTACACTTTTGCAGCCGGCAAGAGACCATCTCAGACCTGGCGTGGGGAAGACGGAAAGGGAGGAGGGACAGGGCCAGGCCTCCTGCTGGCATTCTCCCCGCACTTCCCCCTAGCAGGGGTAGGGAGTCCTGTCTCCGAATCCTGAACCCACGCTTGAAGTTACCGGTCCCGGAAAAGATCAGGAGTTGGTCAGCCTGCCTGCTCCGGGCTGCTTGTCCGCCAAGGCAAAGCAGACGGTCACTTCCGCTGCTTTGCTTTCCCAAAGCCAATAGCTTCAAGCGGGGCAGGCAGCCACGCAATGAGCCTGAGCGTCCTCCAGCCATGGCCAGCGGCGCCTAGAGGGGTCCTTACCTGAGCCACTTTGAGAGTGGGGGATGGTTCCGGCATCCCTGTCAGGCTCTGGGGATGTGGAGAGGACAGGGGTCTTTGGGAGCCTCGGCCAGCCCAAGATGGTGCCAGTAAGAGGAGCACAGCCCTGCCCCTATCCAGGCTCCTCACAGGCCAGCCTCTAAACATCGTTGACATGGATGGCGTTTGTAAGGTTGGCCTGGACCTGCAACCAGGATGGGGGTGGCAGCGACTACTTGGAGACAGTCTGTGCACACAGGGCTGGTGCCCGTTAGACATCAGAGCTCCAAAGCTCAAAAGCCCAGGGCCCCGAGCGCCATCCTGCCTCAAGCCGCCTGCACCGCCGAGCCGAGAGCACTGGGCATCCTGGCTCAAAAGGCTCCACTGGGCTTGGCGGGTAGCTGGGACAGAGCTGGGGCACCATCATTTCTCGAGGAAGCGTGGAGAAAGAGAACGGGCAGGCCGGCCGCCCCGGGAAATTAACAAAACCCACACTTGGTAAAGTCCCCCGCTCCTCCCCCGCGCCTCCCCCGCCGCGCGCCCGCCCCCTCCTCGCCGCCTCTGTTGTGACTCGGGCAGCCTATCCCGAGGGTGGGGAGCCGCGGAGCCGCCGGAGCCGAGCCGCGCTCCGCGGCATCACGTGCCGGGGTGGGGGCTATAAAAATCTCGGCGCCTGGGCACCTCACGGGGGGACGCGAGGACCAGCCCTCTCCGGGGACCCCGTTGTCCACGGCCCGAAGGTCGACACCTCCGAGTCTCCCACGCGCTCCTCTGGGCTCGATCGCCACGCGGCACAACTCCGACCGCGAGCGCGGAGGGCGCGCGCCGCGGCCGGTCGGCTCCCTCGCGCCATGTCACGCTCCTTCTATGTCGACTCGCTCATCATCAAGGACTCCTCGCGGCCCGCTCCCTCGCTGCCGGAGCCGCACCCCGGGCCGGATTTCTTCATCCCGCTGGGCGTGCCGTCCCCGTTGATGATGTCCGTGTCCGGGCCGGGCTGCCCGTCCCGCAAGAGCGGTGGGTTCTGCGTGTGTCCGCTCTGCGTCACTTCGCACCTGCACCCGTCCCGCGGGCCTGCGGGCGGCGGCGGGGGCACTGGAGCTGGGGGCGGCGGTGGAGCGACAGGGGCAGCGGGGACTCTGCCCCTGCTCAAGAGCCAGTTCTCTCCGGGTCCCGGCATCTCTCCGGATGCGCAGTTTTGCCCGCGGGTGAACCACGCGCACCATCATCACCACCACCAACCCCAACAGTCCGGCTCGGCCGCAGCGGCGGCAGCGGCAGCAGCAGCCCTGGGGCACCCGCCGTACCACGCACCTGTCTGCGCTGGCAGCACCTACAACGTAGCTGATCCGCGAAGATTCCACTGCCTCGCCATGGGTAGGGCGGGGTCTCCGGACACCTGCGCGCGCGGAGCTTTGACGCGTTCCGAATATCCAGCCTAGGAAGGAGGCCTGTGGGGGGTGGGGGGAGAGCCCTGGGGCGGGGAGGGTAGGGAGGAGGGACGGCAGTAGCCAGGTGCGCTTCGTTCCCGGCACCAGGTGCACGAGGTTTCCGTGATGCAAAACGTGTTTGGGACCTCGCTGTTGAGGCCCGAGAAGCTGGAAGCTACCTGGGTGGAGGGGTGCGTTTGAATCTCCTCGTAGCGTCTCCTCCTTGGGCTGGCTGAAGCGCTTTGAAGCTCTGGCCAAGTACAAGCCTCTCAAATAGTTTTAAAGAAAGACCACCAACCTAAGCAAGCACAGCTCTTCCTCCCCTTCACTCCACCACCATCCCCTGGCTTTACACCCTGAGCATCAAAGACCTTAACTTTGGGGGATGGGGTGGTGCGTATTTTCCTCCCCCAGCTAGGTCAGGCCGGGTCAGAGAAGGACTCAGACGCTGTCCCCACGGTCCTTTCCAGGGGTGGCACGTGGGGTGGGGGCAGCCTGGCTCAGGCCTCACCTGTCTACCGTCTCCTGCCCCGCGCACAGGAGGTCCGGACACCAGCCAGGTGCCCAACGGCAAGAGGGTAAGAACGGCATTCACCAGCACGCAGCTCCTGGAGCTGGAGCGCGAGTTCTCCTCCAACATGTACCTGTCGCGGCTGCGGAGGATCGAGATCGCCACGTACCTGAACCTGTCGGAGAAGCAGGTGAAGATCTGGTTCCAGAACCGCCGCGTGAAGCACAAGAAGGAGGGCAAGCGCACTCAGAGGAGCAGTCACGCGGGCTGCCAGTGCGTCAGCAGCCAGGCGCACTACGGCCGCTCAGAGGACGAGGACTCCCTGTCGCCAGCCTCGGCCAACGACGACAAGGAGATCTCCCCCTTGTGAGCCAGGGCCGCCCTCAATCCCGCCACCCACCTCAGCCGCAGCCACGCGTCTGGAAAGAGAAGGGACCCAGAAGTTCCTAGGGGCCACACCTCGGATCTGCCCCTCCAGCTCCGTAACTGTTTGAGGCTCTGCTGCACGTGAGAAATCGGTATTTTATTTTGTAAATACGCTAGGATTCAACTCAGCCTGCTCTTCCAACAGGATAAGCAGAGTTCGTTTCTCCACAGCACCTACTCTCTCTCCATCCTGGCTGTCCCTCTGTCCCTCTCAAGAGCGGGGGAGGGGGGCGGCATTGCTTATTTCCTGCTGCTGTTGTTGTTTGAAACATGAAAACATGGAAGTTGCAAATCATTTAGAGGATCGAATCCTGTAGGTCTGGCTTTTGGAAAAAAAAATGTCTCCGGGAGGATTTCAAATGCAAGTCTCCCTTTGTATGTGAATAGTTTTATATAAAGTTTATATTTATATTTATTTAAATAAAGGCAAGGAAAGCAGGAGTTTAAGCTTGTGGTGTCGGCTGTCTTGCCCCATCAGCACCAAGTCTTCAGAGGGTGTGGAGCTAGAGGGCACATCTGCGGAAAGCCTGGCGGTGCGGGCTCTGTGGGTTTGCTGTGTCCCACGAAAGAACCCCACCCCCCACGGGTGCTGTCCCTGTCCTTCCTCACAGATCTCTCCGCCCTGGGCCCTCCCCCCTCACATTTCCTTGCTGTGGCACTCCCCTTTCCCCCTCAACCCCCTGGGCACTCACTGGCCCCAGTGCAGGAGTCTGCATTGAGGCAGCAGCTTTAGGAAGCAGCACATTCGGTGAGTCAGCACCAAGGGGACACGTGGGGAAGCTGCTGGAGGCCGACCTCTGGGCCGTCAATGCTGAGAAAGCTAACAGGTGGAGGGTCCAGAGGTGTTCTACCTGCAAACTTCACAGGCTCTTTTTCTCCCCCACTGGCCTCCAAAAGCCCAGCCAGGTGCTTCCCCTCCCCATCTCCCCTTCTGCCGTCTCCTGTGTCTGCTTTCCAGTTCCTTTCCAACCTAGGCCAGCAGTGAGCCTGCAGGCCGGGTCCCCAGAGGAGCATGTTCCTGGCTGTGTACTGGGCACAGCCTGGGCACAGCCTGGGCACAGCCTGAGCCCGCAGTGCAGGGTAGAGGAGGAGGCAGAGGAGGAGGTGGCCAGGAGCTGCTGACCCTCCTGAGTGTTCTTGGAGAAGGTGCCACTTCAGATTCAAGTTCTGCCTCCAACACACACACACACACACACACACACACACACACTTCTTTCAGACTTGAAAAGCATCTGTTAGCACAGGCCAGAGGCATCCAGGAGCAGCCTTTGAACGCAGAGCTGCTGCCCCTGGCTGCGGATAGCCCAGAGGATCCTGCCCAGGCCCAGGAGGCTCAGGCCTCTGGGTCACTTGCCCACAGCAAAGACCCCCGTATGCATCGAAAAGCAGAGCTGCTGGCCACTGCCTTCCCTTGTCCTCCGCCTGAACAGGCCCCTCTCCAAGCGCAGAGAGCAGGGGTCTGAGCAGGTGTTCAGGCACTGATTGCAGGGCTGGAGGAATTCTACATGACCAGGGTCATGGACAAAGCCACTCGGCAGTGGTAGCTGTGTCCACTCTGCCCCGAACCAAACCTCCTTGGGCCTCACCCCTCTGTCCTCCTGCCCACAACGCGTTTGTTCAAGTCCATGACCAACCTGCACCCTGCCCGGCTCCCCGCCCCAGGCCCTGTGCTGCACTATGGAGCTGGGCTCCTGGGCACCCAGCACAGCAGGCATGCCCCACTCAAGTCGGCAGTCCCTGCAAACCCCAGCCGGCTTAGGGGGCCCTCCGTGGCCGTCTTTGGGCCACTTGGGAGGTTCCAATCCTCCTTTCCAGCTCGGATCTTCACGGAAAACCCACAGCGAAGCGAGGCTAGAGGACATCTTTCTAGAGGCAAATGAATGTGGGAAAGCTAACGTCCTCCACTCAGCTGATCTTGAACAGAAACCAGAGTCCCCCAGGGTCCTGTTTTTCTATTCTAGCATTCAGGACCTGTTGTGGACCTGTTGTGGTCCCTCCCACCCCCGCCCCAGTGAAGGGGAGCAAGGAGTCTCGTACTCAGCTCATCTTCCTCCTTCACTCCTCCCTGCCCCAGCAGAACGAAGCTTCAGGAATTCTCTGCTGGAGCGGCCCAGGGTCAGTACCCAAGACGGTACTCTGCCAGGTTTCCTCCCGGGTCTGTTGAAAAAGGAAGGGGAGCCAGGGCTGCCCTGGATCTCAGCTGTCACTGTCCCCCTGGTCAGAAGACAGAAACAGAACAGAGTCCCTCTGTAAGCCTCATCTCCAAGAGGTCCCAGGCACAGGGGGCACAGAAAGAAGGAACTGCACTCAGAATCTGGAGCTGGCAGCAGAGTCCAGCCACAGGGGCACAAGGTGTGGCCAGGGCTGCCCCGCATGCAGAAAGCCAGAGGTGTAACCTCTCACCCCATGCCCTGGGCCAACTCAGACAGAGATACCCCCCACCCCCCTTTTGCTCCCACCCAGTCACCTTCACAAGCCTGAGGCTGGTTGTAAACCACTCCCAAGAGGGACCCTGTGCTCCATTCCTTGGGTAACCGTTACTTCTCCCAGAGACCAACAGGCGTTTTAGCAAACCCCCAAACTTGGGAGGGGGTGAACTTTTCCACTTCTGTCCTCCTCCCTCCCTTGCTCGTCCCCTGGCAGTTCCAGGGCCTCTATGTATGTGAATGTGTATCACACTTATGCATGTGTGTGCAGGCATACATCAGGACTACACGCGTGTGAGAGAGGAGTGTGCGTCATGCATGCAGATGGGCAGTGTGTGCATGTGAGAGACGGCCCATTGGTGGTGGTCATGTACAAGAGTAATTTTTACCAGGTCCCCTCCCGCCCTTGGAGGGAGGCGGGAAGGTGCTCACGGTGGTGCAGAGAGCAGCTGTCTGGGAGGAGGCCGGAGGGAGGAGCTGCCAGGGGCAGGACCACAGCCCTGCCTTCAGGAAGGGCACTGGCCAGGTGAGAGGAGGGCTGAGCTGGAGGAGTCGGGGGTCCTTGGAGGCTGCACCCTCCCACCCCACCTGCCCTTCTTTGCAAGCAGAGCTGAGCGCTATCCCAGCACAGAGCAGAGCCGGAGCACGACGGAGCACAGCCGGAGCACAGCCCACAGCTCGCTGCATCAAAGCAATTGTTCCTGCTTTTATTATGCACAGGGAATCTTTGTACCTGGTAAGGTGACAGACCTTTTTAAAAGGAACATTTTTTTTTCTATGCAATTAGATGGTGCATTTACTAGGCTTCTATTAACATAATTTAATATAAATCTATTTTATAAATCTTTAGGCTCACATTACTGAAAATTGAGCTTCCTTTCAAGGGGGGGTGGCGGGGAGGACTGTGTCTTTTGCCTGAATTAGATAGAATGGAATCTAAAACCTCTAAGTCTGCTGCAAATCCTAAAGTGGAAGGCTCTTTGGCATTGTCCTTTGCCAGGGTGGACGGTGGGGAGAAAAGAGGTAGCTTGTCTCACGGACTATGGGCCAATCCTGAGGGACCCTGGGACCCTGGGGATAATGAGCTAAGATCACCACAGCACGAGGGGACCAGCGCAGGGACTTCACGGCCTAGGTAGAAAGGTGAGCACCCCAAACAGAAATGTGACCCAGCCCAACTTCTAAAGAAACTTGAGCGCAACTTTCTTCTTTCCGAGGCAAGGCAATGGGAGGATGACTGGAAGCCGCGTCCCCAGGGACACTCCCGGGCACCCTCCGGATTCCCCAAAGCGTCCCATTGCGCGACGCCTGGTGAGCGCTAACTGCGCGCTGTGAGGTCGTGCACCTGGCCCGCTCTGCTGGCACTGGCCTTCCCAGCGGCCATCACGTCCCCGGTCCCCGGAGGCCCAGCTCAGCTTCTCAAGCCAATCCGGAGCGATCGGAAGTGTGCTGTGCACTTAGGAAAGGAACTGGTTTCAGATTAATGAAGCGGTGACAATTTCAATCTGCTTAAAGGCGGAGGTTGGCACTGCCCGGGCCTGAGCGCGGGGAGCTGGCCAGGCCAGCCTTTATGTTGTCCCCTTTTCTGAAGAGCAGACAAAGATGGATAGAGGGACATTGAAAAGGAGGGCGAGTATTTCACAGCCCCATAAAGCGGCTGTCACTTTAAGACAAGAACCAGAGCGCTTTGATGACTTTATATTAGCTGCACCATTTCAAATAAGGCACTCCAGTCTCCGGCGAGAGGGAGAGGGAGCGCGCGCGAACTAATTCTTAGGCAACGACTTGCTTTCTGAAGTTCAGGGAAAAAACCCGCAGCAGGTGCAAAGGGAAAAAGCAAAAAAGCAGGTGGGAGCTGCTCCCGGTGGGAAACAGCTCGGGAGCGCGGGGTGCGGGGTCCAGGAGCTGGCCAGCTTGGCCTCAGTTTGCTGGGAAGGGCTGGAGCCTGGCGCTGCAGCCCGGCCTGCTTCAGACTGCGCGGAATTATAATGGAAATGCCCGAGAGCGCGAAGAGGAAGAATGGGAAGGCGGGGGGGGGGCATGCTCTCCGAGACCACCTCCACAAAGCCCAATTTAAACTGTTTGGGGTCAAGCGACTGCAAGCCACCTCCCCCTTTAATTAATTAATGACTGCAATTAATTATTAGTCTTGGATTTGCTCACGGCTTGAAAACGGGCTACGGAGCGGATTCAGCCGGACCCGCGGTTTTGAACTCCGGGAGACTGACAGCTGGATATTCCGGCCTCCCCCTTCCCTGTCTGCAGGGTCCACCTCTCTCTCCTTCTCTCTCTCTCTCTCTACCCCTCGCTCCCTCTCTCCCTTCCCCACCCCAACCCAACCCCCAACTCTTCTTACCTAATCCCTAATCCCAGGAACTCAGTCCTGGCGGGGGGTAGGGAGTGGGGGGGGGGAGGTGGTGGTGGTGACAGGAAGCTGGCGCACTCCGCCAGCAGGAGCCGTCTCCAAACCCGCCCAGTGGCTGCGTGGTCGTTGCGGGGAAGTGGCTGGACTGCGCTG